GAAATCACTGCCTGAAATTATTTGCGTAAAACAGCGGGGCGTCAATTTTACTCTTACTACTAGGTTTATGTGTTTTTTGTAATGTTTAAATTGAGGTATTTAAAAGAAAATAGTGTAATCAAACCCGAAAGTGAAGAAATTATACTAATTGGGATGTAAAAAGTATAATAATTTAGACGTTATTTATACTGTAAGAGGAGGTGTATCTTTTATGCTCTTGACTAAATTTCTATAGAATTTATTTGTTTTATATTTATAAATTTTAATTAATATAACAATCCAAAGACTGTGATATCTTTCGGTATTTTATTGTAGTCACTATAATTTACCCTAGTTAATTATTGTTTGTCAACATTTCGTTTTAAAATTTCAACCCAGAAAATGACAGCCACGCCCTTGTCATTTGTTTTGGACCACAAAACCATAAATCACTGTGACAAATCACTATCACGCAGGCCAGTCACTGTCACCAGTCACAGTCTCACCATCTCACCATCAACATCATCTCCATCATAGGTTTTGAGTACGAGTCCCAGTTCCATCGCCAAAGCGATCCCGAGAGTCTCTTTGGAGAGCGGGCGGAATGCGCAAGCTTTTCATGCGTAAATTTATGTGCCTGCCAAGCGTCGTAAACATTTCTTTCGTTCAGACTTCAGGCTTTGGCGCTGCTTTCTATCGCCCGTCTCTTTCGCTGCGCCTATGTCCGTCTCTTACGGCCTTCATCTGGCCCTCTCTTTCGCTGCCAAACTGTGCGCAGCTGCAGAGCGTTTCACCCACGCCAGGCCCAAGGCAATGGCATATATTTCACACACACTCTAGGGTACACAGAGCGAAATATTGCCACTATTTTAATGTACTTTATATTATAATAAAGGAAGTAGATATGATATTCTTAAAATTTAAGATCAATTTTAAGTTTTTATGACCAAATTGGGCATTAAATTTGAAGCTAGGAGCCCAATAATTTCTAATAAGAATTAGTAAACAAAGTAAAACCAAGTCAATATGGATTAGGACGTGTATGTTTTCAGCTTTTTTAATCCTTAGTGCAGAATTTTGGTATTATAAGATATGTAAGTTTTGTGTTTGTGCCCTCAAGGTCTCACTTTTCCCCAAAAAAAACTATATTTTTGTAACGAAAACTAATATTAATAGAGGTAATTCATTTTAAAATCTTCATTAAATAATAATTAATAATAATAAACTTGATTTAAAATATATGTTGCTGCGTGTACAGAGCCGTCCAATAAGTACATGCTCATATGTCTGGGCAATTTATGAGTGAAAAGCTGCGACTTTTACAAATGAAAACGCCATAAATTCAATTAGAGTTTTCTGCCTTTCCTTTGGCGCCTCTACTGCGGCTCCTCTGCAAATCAGAGCAGATCGTGCCAAGAGCCTGATTCCAATTCAAGATCCAAGATTCGAGATCCAAGATCTGAGATCCGAAGCAGGTCGCTAGTTGCGCCCCAATTGCTCCATTATAACATGGTCCAGCCCCTTCGCCTTCGCCTAGGAAATCTCCAAATTAGTTTCGCGCATTAGACTCAATTAAACGAGATCTCCACATTCGCGGCACGCTTCATGGGAAATCTATTTATTTAGAGAGAGAGTCTAGCTAAACAAATATGTAAATCTTTTGGCTGTGCGTGTGCCTTTGAAGTTTCTTCTTCTCGTGCTGGCTTTGGTTTATTTTGGCCTTCCTTTGGCGCTGGCCTTTTAATTGCCTTGAAGTTAATTTTTCATTTCCAGAAGAACATAAAACGAAACGTTTTGTAACCGGGCAGAAACATTTTCCCTTGTCCCCCCATCCTTACATTCCCACATTTCAAACACTTGTAAATATTTTCGTGTTGCATCAACAAACATTGTAATCGAAATTTTTGCGTCAGAGCCAGAGCAAAATCTTCCATTAAGATTAATGCCCGCCCTGGCCGGGCCCACATTGGATAATTATCTATGGGGCAGGGCAAATACTAAAGACTTGATACTTGAAGGGATATGTAAATCATGTCAGATGGGGGAATTCCAAGGCAGATGATGGTGATGAGATGGGTTGCCCAAAGAGAGATTTAGAGTTCCAATTAAATGCTTCGATGACGGATACAATGTATTTTGGAATTTATTTTCCTTTCTACGAAAATATCGTAAAAAGCTCTTTGAACTACAATAAATGTCACAACCGAAGTGAAAACTTTTCAGTTATTTTCTGTTTATATTTTCCCTTACCACTTAACATTCAAAATCTTAATATCTCAACTTTGTATGTTGTCAGTTGGAGTTTTTGAGTAGTCGGAAAGGAAAAACTAACTAAAAGGAATTGTTGCTTATTTCGTGGAAATAAACGCAAAAGGAAGGAAACTTTTTTGGCATATTTGCATTGTCTGCAAACTTATGGTTGCTTCTTTTTAGTCCTATACACCACCATAAATTTCAACAGAACTTCCGTTAAATACCTCTAGCCTCCCACCACCACCCCACGTGGAATTTATAACAATAACAGAGCTGAGCTCATCGAACATTTTTTAGCTCATACACTGTTTCTTTTTCTTTGGTTTTTTTTTTTGTTCTCTGTTTTTGTTATACATCTGTTTGCTTTCATTGTGGAATATATATTGTGTATTTATTTTTACTCTTTTGTTGATCTTTTTTCAGCCTTTTTTTTTTTTTGGCTCTGGCCCGTAGCTAATTTGTTTACCTGAGAGAGAGGGAGACGTGAGAGAGTGTACGCGCTCTTGTTTATTTTCAACAGCATTTTTTGGGACCCGAAAATAATAAGAAAAAACATCAGGTAAGCCAATTTTTTGTGGCTAAAATCAATTTTGTAGCCAAGCAGCTGACAAAAATTCATAGAAACCAATAGGAAATTTTTTAAATTTTATTATTATTTTGGTATTGAATTACTTAATCATTTTTGTGTAGTTAAATAGTTCAACCTCTTCCCTAAACCTTTATTTATATTCTTTATAAAGACGAAGTTCATTACATTTAGTGTAAAATCTCTTCGATTTTTGTTAAACATAATTTTAATCGACATCAAAAACCAGAACAGAGTTCTACATTTACTCGAGATGGCTGGTTTTTCGTTTCCCAGAAATATGTTAAAAACAAAACGTGTTGAAAGGCTCGCCAAAAAGTGTTTTTGCATAATATGCAAACGCACGGGAAACACAGAAGTCTGGGGAGAAATGAATTGTAAATCAAATCAAATGTTTAACACATGGAAAGCACTCGTTCGTGGTAAATGAAACAAAAATTATAATTCTGGCTGTGGCAGAGGCGAACGTACAAAAAAAAAAAAATTGGCACACCGAAATTTGCTCAATGAACAGAAAATAAAAACAACAACAAATAACCCCTATGGGCTGCCCATAATTATTGAGCGTTCACTGGCTTTGTTTTTGTTGCTTTTGTTTGAGGGCATGAAACTTGTAGCGCTTCATCTCCTCAAGTTCAAGTCGCAGCTTCAAGTTCGCGCTTGATTTATGGGGCAAATTGGCGGGTAAGATCTGCCCCAGACAGAGCCCCAAATAAAGTTTCTCTCTTTTTGGTTGAGAAACCCATTCAGGCCCCAGACAGGTAGCAGCTGCTCCTAATTGTCGAAAGTATCTCTCTTCTGACTGGGAGAAGATACATTTCTTTTTGTCACGTTTAGTCGCTTGTATATAAGTATCTCTTTGGTTCTGATGTCAGACGGACAGTCAACCTTGAACCTTTTTTTTGTTTCTTTGGGTTCTGGTGGCGTATGTTTTTGTGCCCGGTCTGCTTTTCAAATATTTATAACCGCTATCCACAAACTTTTGCTTTCGTTATTTTCGTATTGCTAATTGGCGCGGAAATCGTTTGCGAGAAGCCGGTTTAAACAATCGAAAATTGTGTAAACCAGTTTTGGGCATTAGAAGCCCATGAATTTTTCAGTGCTAAAGTCACATTGAGGTTTGCCTTATACCTCGAGGGTGGCCCGACATTCTGCCGCATAATTTGATTGAGTAAACTGTGCTGGTGGCAATGACTTTTGCTTAATTATAGGAATATTTCAATTAAATGTTTTTTAATGTGGGAATTTAGGGTTTTTATAGAGAGAATTCTTTTTGGAGCTGGCTTGGAGGCTGGAAAATTATGGTGGTAGTGTGAGTAATTGAATGTTTTGATGATAAGATAAATAATTGATAGATAGTTCGATACGAACTTTGCTGGTTTTTATGTTGCGTAACTTTATTTGATTTAGGTTGTGATTTTTCCTAATTTTTAATGGAACAATTGTGAAAGCTAGACAAGTGATTGATGGAAATATTTCATAAGATGTAATTGTTTTATGTATTCTCTCTACACCTTCCATAAAAGGTTACATCATTATTTATTAAGGTTAGGATTATGTTGTCATTCAAATGATTATCTCACTTGAGTTTTAGAAAGGTCAAGGTGGTCTTGAGATGTTATCTTCAACGAACATTTTAAAAGTGTTTTTTAGAAGTGTTACAGTTTAACTCGCAAAACTCTTTTCAAGTGTATTATTTATCCAAGATCTCCCAAGACATAGGTCAAAAATCCTTTGGGATCGCTTTTCGCATAAATTTCTTGGTACTCCAGGAGCTTTCTCCTCGCACTTCTGGTTTATCTAGATGTACATATGTATCTAAGATGCTGGCTTTCCCATTGCAATTTTGGTATATTTTCTTTTAGTTGGGAATATTACTATTCCCTCAAGATATTCAAACTATAATCTAAGGAAATCAAATGTGTTTCTGCCAATTCATGATTTATCCTAAAATCTCCTCCCTAAGTTAGGTCCCAAATCATTTTTCCCCCAAGTCCACCCAGATCGCTATTCGCATAAATTTCCTTGTACTTCAAGAGCTTTCTCCGAACACTTCTTTCGTATCTAGATGAATGTATCTTCATGTTTGTTTCCCATTTCTTGTACGTTTTTTTATGTGTTTTGTTTTTAGTTGTTTTTTGTTTGTAGTTTTTGTGTATTTCTTTTTTTTTTTACAACTCACTTGTAGGAGCGCTATCACCAGCTGTACGGGTCCGCAGCGGACGACAACAGTGCCGATGGTGGTGGCTCTGAGGGAACCTGTGGTGCTGCTAGAGGTGGCGTGGTGGCTCGTGGACATGCCCGTGGACATGGCCTGGCTTGGAGTCGGCGACGATGATGACATTGTTGCTGAATAATTGAAGGCGTCTAGCTGGGACTGCTGTGACTGCTGCGATTGCTGTGACTGGAGCTGGCGGGGATGCGGATGGGGGTTCGAGGAGGAAGCGGCCGAGTACAGCGAAGACATCGATGAGTCTAGGGCTTGGCGGCGTTCCATGGTTCGTTTTACTTTTCTTCTTTCCTTCTCAACTCTCTGACTCTGACTTGGACTCTTTTGAGGATTGCTGAGGAGTGCTGAGTGGTTGGTTTGGTTGTCGGCTTAGCGGCTACGTGTAGTTTTGTGTGTTTCGCGGGGGCGTCTTTTATAATCTCTGTCGTTTTGTTTTCTCTCGTTGATGTTACCTATGCCGGGTTATTTCGCGTGTTGTGCATTTTGAACTCTGCTCGGGGGAAGAAGATGACTTTTAGACTTTACAATCGAGTCACTCGCGTTCGGCTTAATTTATTGGGTTAGTTATAGTTATAGTCGCTATATCTATAGCCAGAGAGCTATATGGAGGATTTGCTTCGTTTCGATTTCGGATCGTTGCGAACGCTATCAACGCCGGCGATCGTCTGAGAACCTCTGCGAATCGGTTGATTTTCGAAACGGACAATTCTCGACTATGACTTCATACTCGCGCTCTCTCTGTCTCTCTAGTGCTAGTGCCTTGTTTATTATTGTTTCTATATATATAGGTATATATACACGGTCAGAAAATGAAGGGATTTATGCTATTTGAAAGGGTTTTCTATTATTTTTAAGGTATTTATGCCTTTAATTTGGATTCATAAATGGCTTTTTGGGGGCTTAATAAACCAGAAAATTTCTGAAGCAACCTAGCATATTCAATACACATTTGCCATCTAATTTTTATTTCTGTGTAACTAACTAGTATGCCGAGAGCATCGCTTTGTGTGTACTTTTTTTTTTTTGCATATTGAGCCTGAGAAAATTGCCTTTGATGCGTGTGCTAGTCTCGTTGCCAGCCTCCTCTCCTCTCATGACAATGCTTCTCGATTCGCGTTTATTTTTAAACAACAAACTATTGAGTAATTTTTCGCGGCGATTTCTGCCACGAAGCTAAACTGTTGTTCTAGCCCAGATACAGAGATGCAAAAAGAGATTGGCGGCTACAGATAAAGCGCACGGATGTGCGTCAGCTTTAGTGAAACAACCAATGTATCCACCAGATATTCGGACATGTGCCAATTGCATATTGGCAGGAGTCGTCAGTCAGTCGTCATCGTTTGGGGATCCATGAATATATGCTTATTTGGATATTTTTGAATATATTACGCATACGCCGCGTATGCTGGTGTGCAACCAGCTGCTGCCTCTATTAGGTAATTTTTTTGGTGTTTCTCTCAAAATTTTAATAGTCGCCGCCGTTTGCTGCCTTCGCTGGCGGCGTAATGTAAACTATTTTAATTGTACTTTTCGCTGGCTAAAAATAAAACGGCGCACAACAACCGAAAAAAAATTTGGAAAGAAGAAGTCCGTCGTTCCCTATAAAAGTTTACAGTAACGAAAATTGAGGAAATGCTTGGGAGACCGGACCCCCATATGTTGTTGTCCAAAAAGAAAAACTATATTGTTGATTGAGATTTCTGGGGCGTGGTGGTAAAGTAAAGAACCTATGTATATTGTATTTAAAGTCAAAAAAAGAAAAACTACACATGACTCAATCTTTTTAGCGCAAGCAGCCAGCTTTCAATGCATCAAGTCATTGAATATTTTTCGAAAAAAATATTTCTCTGGCCGCATTTTGTGGCAAAAATTTCTATTTGTTAAACATTTTATTTTGTTTTCTGCTCGTTGAGGGTCGTCGTCGTCACAAAAACTGTGCGAGGGGCAACAACAATAAATTTTAGCACACTTTTGTTGATTTCAGACGCCAACAATATTTTTTTGAATGCCAAAAATGTTCTCGGTAAATTATTGCTGATTAAAATATGTTTTTCCTCTTTTTTTTATGTTTGGAAGTGGCGAATTTATTGCCGTCATCCTCTTCCAACCCCTAACTTAATTTACATAGATATGTTTTTATTCGCACATTATTCGAGCGGAGGAGATGTGAATGAGTGAGTGAGTGGTTAAGGCAAAACGCGCGCGCGCCGCTTTTTCCACACAAAAAACAGCCGAACAACCGAACGCCGCGAACTTCGAACAAGACTGACCAAAGTTCCGAAGACTGAAGACTGCAGATCCCACAAAACTGAGAAGAATCTATGGGCCAGCAGAAGATCGGCAGCGAAGAGAGCGCGCCCAGCTGAATATTAACCGATTCGCTCAGTTTATATGTCAGTTTTTTTTTCTCTCTCCTCCGATCTCTTGGCTCTCGCTGAGCTCAGTTTTGGGAAAAAGCCGGCTTGGTCTTTGGGAGAAGAGAGGTCTGGAGCTGGTGGATAGGGAGAAGTGTAGGGGGCGGCGGGTGAGACATAAATAAACAAGTGCTCTTGGCATTCGCGGCGTCGTTAATTCATGATTTCAATTTTTAATGCCCTGCGCCCGGCTTTTCAGCAATTACAATACCAACAAAAGGTATGAGGCGATATGAAGAGTGATATCCTAAAAAATAGGAAGAGAATAGCTAATACCCTGTATAAGTTGAGTTGCTTCTCCAGGGAACATGATTGGAAAGCTTATAGTAGTTTATTATTTATAATATATAATTAAGAGCTACTTTTTATGGGGTCATTCTAAAGGTACACTTGCCCTTTATCCCAAAATATATTTATCCGATAGAAGACAGAATATAATATTAATTTTAATAATTTTAGAAAATGTTATATGTTGCTTACATATTAGAAAAAAATAACCATAAGTCATTTTTGGTTACCGATAGGAGCCCGACATCCAAAATCTTAACTTAGATACTCAGTTTTTGTCCCTGACAATGTTGTAAGTTTTCTATCTCTAGGGGCCTGCTTTTTCTGGGGAAAAAGTCTTAAAGTCCCTTTCTGTTGCGACCAATCTTGCGCTAGATATAACAAAAAGATTTGAGAGAACCACCAAGTGCCCATCCCTGCTCCAAATAGTAAAATATTGAATATATCAAGCCACATTTCTCATTCATTTTAAATTGAAATAGATTATATATCACCCCTTTTAAAATACTTATATATTTAAACAAAGAACTGTAGATCACTTGTGAAACTTGCTGTCCAATATCCCCTCTTCAACCCAGGGTATCTTAAACCACAATGTGCTCAAGTGCAGCGTTGGTACTTTAATAACAGAGTGAAGAGAGGACGAGCAACAAAATAACAACACCAGAAAGAACAGCGAAAAAAAAAGTATCCAGACTGTATCGTGTCTTAATAGATGCCTGCAGTCGGCGGCAGTGGGGAAACTGACCGCCCTCATTTAAGTTCCCTTTCCCGCCCCGAAAAAATTCCCTCCCCGGTAAAGCCCCTTTCAGCGATATATTTTCCACCCAAAATGCGTGTCTTGAATCTTGACTTTTGCTTTGATTCAAGACTTTCGATTCGTGCAATATCCATCGCTTGTTGCATGCAACAGACGGAGCTACGGCAACAGCAGATGCAGCAGCAATCAATACCCAATTGTGTGTGTTATTATTTTCCGCTATCAACGGCGATTCTGACTTATCGAATTATACTTTCAGCGCCATTAAGTCACGAAATCTGTTCAAATGGCACGAAAAGAATCTTTCAAAGAGAGAGATATTCTTGGTCTCTCCAAATGATCATCACCGCACTCGGAACGTTTTATTTATTTGTTTTTAATTGAGATTAATGACCCACTTGAGGGAACTCAAGTCCCAGTCCCCTTAACCCGATTCAACCCCTTACAACACCCACTGTCAGTTTACATTTTTAGATAATTGAAATCACTTGAGGACCGCTTGTTAAATGCTTAGGGAGAGGGCCACCCACAGGGGTACATTTTAAATTAATATCAGCCTTTTTAAAACATTTGTAAAATGAAATTTGTTAATGGAAATGTTGATGCCTAAAATTATGCAATGACTTTGGCAGGTATTACTGTACCAAGTCATGTAAAATTATGTAAATAAAATATATACTTACTCTTTGGATAAATCAAGAATTAGTATCAAAATATCAAAATTCAGCTGAAAAGTGTCAAAAGTTATTCACAAACTTATATAAAATGATTAGCTTTATTTTTTGGGGGTAAAAAACATTCTCCAATTAATTAATTGCACTCTATATTGTGACTGTGTGTGGAAAGAAAATAGTTATAAATAAATGTATAAAAATACAAATTAATGGCAATAAATTTCGACTGGCTGTGGCGGAATTTAAATTCTTAAAATTAAATATTAAATATTAAGCATTTTGGGTTGGAATTCTCTAATTTTTCGAGCCTTAAACTAAATTTCAACTAGACAAATAAATAGATTTAAAAGCTAGATGGTAAAGCAATTTTAAAAAGTAATAAAATAAATATAGATTTAATATTATGCATAGTTTTCAGATAATTTTCATAACAAAATCAAATTTAATATTTTTCTCAACAAAAGTTCAAACTGAAATAATAAATTTGTCATAGAACAGAGAAAAATCATGCAAAGGAAAATAGCAAACAAAACAAAAGCGAAGAAAAGAAAAACTTTTAGCTCATGGGCTAAAATAGGTTTTGTTTTTGGGGGGTGGAAAAGATCAAAAATAATATGCCAACTAATTTCTGTGTTAATTAATGGCAAGAATGTCAAGCATCGGCAGAGCAGCAAATGGCGCGGGTTAATTGGTCGGAAAATCGAGTTTTTCTATTCTTTTCGTTTCGTTCAGGTGGGACAGGTGGTGTGCCCGCTCCCAAAACTCTTCAGGGAACAAGAATTCTACTTCAAAGAAATCCCTTGATCGTTTGTTTCGTTATATTCTCGTAGTATTTACTGCGTCGCCAGGACGCCGGCGGTTTCGGTTCGTTGGGGTTAGTGGAAGCTGGATTATTATGGCAGCTGCTGCTCACCTCCGGTGTATGGGCACCGGTGTATGGACACCTCCTCGGTGTCGTCTCCGTCGTGATTCCAGTGGCCAGGCTAAAGCCCTCCACCTCGCTGTCCGATTCAATAGCCTGGGGCAATGGGAGTGGCAGTAGCAAATGCTCCTGTTGGTGCTGCTGTTCCTCATCCGGTGTGGGCGTGACACTCTGACTGTGTAACTCGGCCACGCCCACCACACTATCCTGATCATGGTCATCGCTCTTCATTGTCTGCTGATGGGCGGAAAAGTAGCTCAGATCGGAGCTATCAAAGGACATGTTGACGGGCGAGGGTGGGAGCTCGGGTATTTCGAAAGTGCTCAGGGTGGAGTCATCCGCCTCGTCAAAGGAGTTCTTTGCCGATCCTATGTAGGAGCTAGTGCGTCCAGAGGCTGTTTGGAAGGAGGAGGAGTGCGAATTGGGCGTGAAATTGCCCTCGGAGGCGGTGGCAAAGGACTCGTCCTCGGTGGAACGGGATTGCCAATCCTGTAGATGGAAATAAGTATTTAATATTTAAATTTATTCATTTATTAACAATTAATTAACGCCTACCTCAATGCTGCCCAGTTTCTTGATGCCTCCACTGATCCCATTGCTGGCAGCTCCCTCCTGCTGCTGGACATCGCGTATGACTGCGTCCAGGGATTCGGCCACCTCGGCAATGGCTCCCAGCTTGTGAGAGATGGCGGCGCAGGCCAGTTCATTGCTTCCCGTGGGAACTACCTGTACGGTGGCTGGCAGGGAAGCCTCTACTGGAGTCTCGCTTCCAGCACTGCTGGTTCTTCCACTGTCATGTAGCAGGGGACTGGGACTGCAATCCAGAGGCAGTTCATCGGCCACGACACTGAAATCACCAGAGAGACGAGGATTATCGGGGGGTCCGGAGTCCAAGGAGGCAGTGCGCGAGTGCGAGGGCGTCTCATTGTCGGTGTAATCGCTGCAAGGATAGGTCTCACTATCGTTGCGTATGAGAGCCTTGATCTTGTCCAGACTTTGGAGCGGTTTCCCGTTTTGTACTGATCCCTTATAGGCCTCATCTTCCTCTTCGGGTTCGGTCTCTTCGAGAATTATATCCCTTTCAATGGAGGCCTTGGCTATTTTGGTTCTGACACTGGAAGTACTGGCAGTTTCATCATCATCGTCATCATCATAATCTTCGTGGTCTTCCTCCTCTTCACCTTGTGTGTCCTCGCTGCTCGTTTCCGGCAGCTTACTAGCCTGATTGATGGCCTCCAGAAGTCGGCTCAGATCGCTTGCCGAGTCACTGAGGATCTCATCGGGATTGTGGGCCAAATCCTCCTCTTCGCTGGCCAAGGGAGCAGCTGATGAGGCAATTTCAGTCAGAATATCACTCTCAGTTTCCGTTTCAGTTTCCGTTTCGCTTGGGAATTCCATTTGTGGAAGGTCTTCTTCCTTGGGCGGCTCATCAACCACAATGCTGGGTACTTCCAACCGGGGGGTCACCACTTCCTCCTGCTCCTCGGCGTCACCCTTTGATTTGGCAAACAAATTACGAAATCTGGCAAACATTTCGAACTTTTTTTTCTATTTCGTTGGCGCCTCTTTGGGAGGGACAATTAGTTTGACGTAAGACCCTCTAACACGCTTTTGGCTAGTGGCCAGTTGAAGGGAGATGGATGTGTGTCTCTCTCTCTATGATAATTGTGGGATTCAATTATTTCACTTCACCCAGGGATTAGCACTCTTTTGGCGAGAAGGAACAATCAGAGAATTTCATGAAGACACTTCTATATTTAACACTTTTTTTCTATCACAATTCTCCCCACTTTGGCCCACTTGTCGCTGGCCGTCTCTTCTCCAGGAGATCTTTTCGGGAAATCACTCTATATGTAGTAAACTATATATAAGTGTTCCATTAATTTGACAACCTGACAGTTGTTGTCTTTGCCAGAGAACCGAAAACCGAGACCCGAACGCCGAACCGCACTGGACCACGCACTGAAATAGACTGCTTGGATTTGGACGCCGACTCTTAAGCGGATCGTCTGCTATATGCTTCTATATAGTTCTTTTATTTTATTTCAATATTTTTTTTCTGGGTGGTGGAACGTTTTTTCCGAGTGCGTCGCTGCCGGCTGACATTTGTTTTATTATGTCAAAAAATTATTTTTGGTTGTCTTCTTTGCGGTTACTTGGGAAGTATTGTGCGGTTTGATGGGTTTTAAGATCTATATTTTATTGAGACATTTAGTATGTGTTGTACACATGTTTAGTACGTACTTAAAATCACTTGAAAATGTAGTCAAGTTTGCTTTTTATGCTTAAGAAGATTATATACAAATCATTTCTAGCTTGGCATTTATTTTTATAAAGGAAAATCCATTTAAATTCATTTTTAAAGCAAGCCACATATTGATTTTTTCAGTCTTATCAATCAACTCATATTTTATTAATTTCATCAGTCTTTCTTTATATATTTTATGGCTTTTTCAGGGTATCCGCAGTTTGCCTTGGGCCTGCACATGTTTTTAGTTCCCATTTATCATTTCTTTTAGTTTTATTTCTAGCAACTTGTTAGTTCGTTGCTCTTGGTTAATTTGCTGCCGCATCAACTCGTGGGATTTGAGTGAAAATCTTAGTTGATATGCACAACGTTTTCCTTGTTTTTCATGCGTTGAGCATAATGAATTAGCCGATAGACCAGGTTGAAGTCCAAGCACTCGCCACTGCAGGGGTATAATGCTATGGTCGGGATAATTGAAATGGACTTACCTCTTGCCAGTGAGTGCATCCAAGACGAAAGGCTCTTTGAGACGCTTTTTTAGCAGTCTGCCCAGCCTGACCATTCGGCCCACCTCCACGAGGAGCTGCTCCCTGGCCACCAGGTGACGCTGCAAACGGGGCGGCATCTCGCCGAGAGGCGATAGTTCCGATTCGGTTTCTCCTTCGGCGTCGCTACTAATGCCACTGCTACTCCGATTGTGCTGATGTCTTTGCTGCCGATGCAGTTGAGCGGCCAATTCCTGGGTGAGAAGTGGCCGGAGTTCCCTAAGCTGGCGATAATAGGCCTCCACGCTGCGATGAAAGACGGCTGAGACCCGCAGGCGGGTCATCTGTTCCTGGGCAATTGACTGGAGACTATGCCAAGTGTGCTGGAGTTGTTCACCAATGGATGTGTGATCGGAATGGGAGCGATCTAGCTTGCAGCAGAGTCGAAGGGTTTGGGAGGCCTCCAGCAGCTGACAGCCATAGTGGTAGATACTCTGAAAGGTTAAAAGCAATAGAATTTGCTTTAAAAGTTAATCCCCTTTGAAATTCTCAGTGTATTTTCCATAAAGACCTTGATTTTCTTACTGAAAATGGGAAAATCTGCATTTTTATCGGTCACTCTGCCGTTAGCCAAAAAACTGGCTCTCAAAAGGCTCTCTCTTCATCTCTCTTTTTTCGTTTTGCCAAAAAAATAAATAAAACTCACCCGTCCGGTTTCCTCGAACCCCTGCAGCTCGTCCTTCTGCAGCTGAATCTCATGGATGTTGCAGCCGACATGGGAGTGGCAACGCAGCAGCACTGCATACAGCTCTCGCAGCCAGTCGCGCGCCCGCCTTGCGTCCTCCTCGTAGGCATGGATGTGGGTCACCTGCTCCAAGGTGAGCCGCTGCAATGCCAACCGCTGCCCGCACAGCTGCCTCCTCCGGCGGCTGGCATCGATCTGCCGGCGCAGCTGGGCAATGTCCGGGCTGTAGTCCAGCTGGAGGTCACGGCCCAGCGCGTCTTTCACCGGCATCGCAAGCATGTCGCTTAGCTTTTCACCTTCGCGGACAAGTTCGCGTTCGACGTTGGCTGTGAACGGAGATGTTTTATGTTGGACTTGAGTGTATGATGCTGGGTTCGATGTTTATAGTTTTAGTGGGGAAAGATCTATCGAGGTTCGAGTTGGAACCGATCTCCTATTGGATTTACTATATCCATTCAAATTTGAAAGCGTGACTTTTATGTAACAGATTTATAATGAAGGCTGGTAAACTCTAGTTGCTGCTTTTGGTAGACCTATTGTTAAACCTATTGTCACATTTTTTGTTAATTATATGTTAATGGCAAGTTATCTTAATGCTCTGATTAACACTATGAAAACCCTTTTAGAAAATTGTTTTTATAAGCCAACAATGATTTAAAATTCTTAAAAAACTCACCCAACATTTGCTGATTCTTCTTGAGCTGCATCAGAAGCTGCTCTGCCTCAGGCCAATCCAACGATCGGCTGTCCACCTCCACCACATTGTTACCCGTGACTAAAAGCTGCTCGAATTGCTCTAATAGGCGTTGAAATCTCAAGGCTGTCATCAGAACATTACGCCTTCGCTCCAATCTCTTGGCAAAGGATCGACACACAAACTGCATAAAGTCCCGCTGCGAGAGTAGATCCTGGCAAGTGTCCTGATCTTTGGCTGAACCCTCTCGCTCCCCAGCGAATCGCTGAACTTTGTAGAGCAGCTCCGCATAGCAACCGTAGGTGTCGCGGCACTCTAGCTCCAGCTGATCGTGAGCAGAGCGTAAAGCCTCGCATCCTCGCACATCCTGGCCCACGCTTCGCTGGCGGCTCAACAGCTGCTCCGCCTGCTGCAGGATCCAGTTAGTGACAAAGGCCACGCCCTCCTCTAGGGTCGCCAGCTCGCGTGCCTCCCTTAGAGATCGAAGCAGCTCGAGCCAGGCAGTGCGTATGGCCGTCTGTTTTTTCTCGATCTCGTTCAGTCGTAGTTCAATGCGTGCCCGCTCACAGACGAGATCCGGCGGTAAAAGGGGTTTCTGCGGGTTGGTCGGGGAAGATGTAGAGGCGGTGCTGCTGGCCTGGAGCTGTGAGGGGGAGTCCATTGGAGAGACAGGTGCGACCGCTTGTGGCGGCGATGAATGCGTCTCGTAGACCTCGTTGAAACGGGCCAAGATCGCGTTACCTGCACAATGCGCCAGGCACCACGCACCACATGCAATAGAGTAAAAGGTGAAAAGAGGAAGAGAAAAGTGTACGGTGAGAAAAAATGGGAAACTTTTAGAATAAAATTTAATTTAGGAAAATATTTATATATCGTAAAGTCTGGAAAGTGGAGAATTACCCATTATTTTATGCTAAATCCAGGAAATCTAATCTAAAATCGCCTGAATAAATATTTATTGCACTTTGTTTAAGACTTTCTGAAGAAAATGTACTAGGAATTCCAAAGAGTGATCCTTCGGCTATATTTTTATAAGACACTTTAATTAAATAAATTATAATTCGAACATAAAAATCTGCTTTTTTAGAGGTTTATTGATTCCCAAAAGTCTCTATTTTAATTTAAAATATTTAAATATTATAACTCATTCATTTATAATTTCATTAAGCCATTTTTCTTGGTGTACCCTAGAGCTTTTACTGCGGGGGGATCTTTATATCTCCATCTATTGCCATTCACACAACCATAGAAAAGTGAAACCACATTCCCGGCCTTAGGCTTTAAATCTGAATCTGCGTCTGGCTCTGTTTCTTGTGGCATGTGCCACCATTTCGTTGCGCATCAACGATTTTTGTGGCTTTAAGTGAAAGGTCACGTTTGTCGTTTTTTCTGTTGCCAAACCCACGCACTCGAAAGAGAATTCGACTGAATTTGAAGTGTGAACACAGATTTGAGCATGGTTTGTACAGAAAAGAAAGATGATCTTAACCGCAAATGATTCTCAAAAACAAAATAAATACAAAAAATAATGAAATTTAATGAAGCCACAAAAGTAATTCAACAGAATGACTCTCTCAAGTTCTTAAAAAACGGGTTTTGATTGTATTTTTAATTACAGCTTAATTATTTTAAATATTTTGTAATGAAAACTGGTTTTATTTTATAATTAGAATATATAAGAGTTAAGTAAACCACTTCTTTTATTAATTTATTGATTAGAATTATAGTTTTTATATAAGAAACCCATAATCAATCAAGCTTATACATTTTCCAAAGCCTTTCTTAACTCTTTATTATTCCTAGAACAATGCCTTTTTGGGCTTTTTAATTTGCCTGATCAATAACTTATTGTCACATTTTTCCTATACAGTCTCTCAGAGACCTTCTATAGGCCTCAAAGCTCTCCCCATAGGCCATGTTCAATGCTGTTTCAGTGCCGTTAAAATCAACCCACAATAAAAACGAGCGAAAAAAACGAGTTTGCCAAACGTGGCTCATTTCTAATTGAACAAAACACACAAAATTCAATGATTTACTTGTCACCTGTGTGTCTCTCTGTCCCACTACATAGTCCCCTCTCTGTCTGTTTGTCTCGTCAACTCGTTTCGAGGGCATTAACAAATTATGTTAATTGCTTGGACGCAAAAAACAAAAGAAACAAACACAAAAAACGACTCGAAAAACAAAAGACTCGAGCCACAAACTCCACGCGACTCACCCATGTCAATGGCGGATTCTATGTCGTTTTGGACGCGAGCATGCAGCTGGGCGCATTTCTTCAGCTCCACATCCGCTTCCGTAGGCCGCAAAGACTTGTGCTGCCTGAGCAGAGCCAGCAGTTTCTCCATGGCGGCCAGTGTCCGTACATGCGCCTTGGTGAACTCATCAATGGACTGTGAAAATTATGCATACACCTTGAGAGTCTACGAAACTGGGGCACGTTTTCTGCTTACCTTGCGCTGTTGCAGCCACAGATCGTAGTTGAACTGCAAGGTGCCGCCCAGTTCCTCGGGCAGGTTCTGCGGCTCTATGAACTTGGCCAGCCGCGCTTTTGAAAGCACCAAGGGCTGGGAGAGATAAATAATAAATTTTGAGATATTTATTGGTACTTTATAGTTTGTCAATTAGATTTGAATCTATTTACCTCTCCCTTAATCTGCGACTTGGCGCACGGCTCTACATGCTTCTCCCAGAATCCCTCCGCCCTGACTAGATACAGATCCACTTTAATATCGCCCCCAAAGAGAGCGTAGATCTGGCGCACCTGCTGCCTCGAGATCCGCGAGCTACTCTCCTGGGCATTGACCACCACACTCACTCCATTCTGCAAGACCGAAGCGCTGAAAGAGATTAATACAAAGATGGATAATCCGATATAGAGAGAGAGAGGGAAAAGCGATTTAAATGCTTCATTAGCTTGCCAGGTTAGATTTGGCTTTAATTAACCACTCTTTTCGGGGGGAACTCTGGTGACCCATTGCCAGTTGATTGATCACAATCAATATATCCATAATTCATGTGGCCTTTTCTTTACTTCTTCTCTCTATTTGTCTGCCCGATGGCTACCTCGTTAAATTAAACAATTTGCTTGTTGCCAATAAAGAAACGAAACCAAAAATGGTTAAAATAACAAAAGACGGCCTGGGCGTAGCTGTAAAGCCCATAGGCTCAGATGTTTCAACTTTTAAGTAGGATGGTTGAGTGGTGTATAATTTTCATAAATTAATTTTTAAGTGTTTTTAATAGGAAACATTTATGGCTGTTACTAGAAACTCACTTATTTAACATTTTAATATCATCTCATCTTACAAAAATCCTCATATTTCCCATTTCGTTTCAGATTTCTGTTAAAGGGGTAAGTGTGTCAATGTTTTCTTTTTATATTACTAAGTTTTCCAAGTTTGGTTTCTCTTGAAAATTAGCTAGACTTTTATTTTATTTATTAAAATATATTTTGAGTATCTTTAAAATCATTACTTCTTTATTATCAGCCATTCTCCGGCATTCATTTGCTTTTAAACATTTTTAAAAACCATTTACTTTTGCCTGAGAACCCTGACACTTTGCATATAAATAACCAGATATTGTGAGGCCTATAACCCCCTTTCGAGACCCGTTTTTCAGACCTCGCCCATAGCGAGAGACCCATGTCTAATGAAAAGTAATGCTCTAAGAGACTACAGAAAAAATAAGCCTCTATCATCATCTGCGGGTTATTTGCATATTTCGGCCATATGCTAATTAGTCGGCGGCATTTCCACTGCCGGTTCCAAGCCACCTTTACTATAATCCCCGATTCTCACCTGAGCGAACGCTTTAGATAGTCCAGAGTCACCTGCAGATAGCGTCGATTCCACAACTGCAGATCGTGAAACGCGTTGACAACGAAAATGATTCGCTTCTGACGATCGAATCCACCGGATAAATAGGCACTCCGCGTCTGCAGAGCGTTCAGCACGTCCTCCTCCATTCTCGTTGGGGGATTTCTATGAGCGGTGGGATCGCGATGATATGCGGCTTCTTTAAATGCTAATTGAAGCTTTTGTCGCCGTACATTTTTCTGCTGAGACACGGGGCAAAATAAAATGCTGGTTAGGATTTTCCTTGGCTTTTGTTTTGTTTTTTGTTTTGTTTGCTGGTGGAAATGCTTGAAAATTAATACAAGTCACAGTTATGCGAGTGGTTTTTTTGTTGTGCCGCTGCTGCTGCTGCTGCGGCTGCTGCTGTTTTTCTTGCTGCACAATGCTGCACATTTCCAAATGCCGCCAGACTTTGTTGGGGAACACGTTTGACAAGTTGCAGCCTGAAACTTCAGTTTTGCCTTTACTTTACTCGGGTACACATTCCAAAAACTATAAATTTTAATGTTTCTTAATGTATTTAACTCAATTTTAAGATGCCTTTGATTTTATATATTTTTTAAAGTCATCTAGACCTCATCAAAGAATTAAATTTCTGCTAAATGGTTTATTCATTAAGCATTTTTATATTTAAAAATATATATTCTTTAAAAAATAATCATTTTAATGCTTAATTTCTTAGGAAAAATCTTAAAATCATACCCAAAACTCTTGAACTAATTGTATTTATAAATATTCTCATTTATATTAATTTCTCTCTGTGTACAACCAGTCTCTCCACATGATTTTCACTATTTTCATGTTAGTTTAAGAGTTTTTTTGTTGGTTGTTTTTCCTTTTTTTTCTCTCATTTGTTTGCTCTCTACCTCCGTGGGGGTAATGGAAAAATTCCATTTTCGCGCATGAGTATTTTGACATAAATTGAAGTTTTAACTCTTTTCAGTAATTCGAACTTCATTTGTCGGCTGATAAGGGAAGCGGCAAACGCTTACTTTGTATTGTGCCATATAGTGCCATAGAAGCGGAAAAGCGGAAAGAGCAGGGGATGGGAGGGGAATGGGGAGGCCTCAGGTAATTCTTTCACTTGTATGTGCCACAAGAAGTACGTGCAAAAAATCCTGTTTGCGCTTGGCAGTCAGTCTATCTTACAGTTATGCGTAAGTGGTCGATGCCTCTTGCCAGCCTCTCACTCTTGCTCATTCGATTGCTCTGACTTGCTCCGCTTTTTTTCTATACTCTTTCTAAAGAGGGTATTTTGTTTATTTAACTAAGCTTAGCTAAGGGGAGGTTGCAGTCAAAATTTGAAGACAAAAGACTCTAAAATGACAACTAGCTGTAGTAATATAAGATGACTATATTTATATTTTCATTTCAAATTATATTCGGGTACACAATCCAACTTTTATATATAACTTTTATAATATTTCTCTATTTTATGTTAAAATTTTACTATATTTTTTAAGATATATTCTGAAGAATAATTAAAGTTATTTCAGTGCTATTAATACTTTTCACTTCAAAAATTGAAAAATATATTTTTTAGTTATACGTAATTATTCAAATAACTTTTTGTCGCATATCTAAGGAGTTCGTTATATTTTCCACCTCACAAAAAATGATATAGTATCATATCACATATTACACATTAACCACAACTAGTTTAAATCCATCGTTCAGACTGTAACATATCTAATTGTTATAAGAAATATTTTATGATATTATATAATATTTATTTTTTTGCTATACCTTATTTATACCTTTTTCAAAATTTAAGAGACACCCGATAAGAGTATTCAACTGCCGCAAGCCCCGCCCAAAATCCGTTTCCCGTTTTTTATGTTCTAGGCAAAGCAATTTGCACTACTTGGCTTGACTTTGCAACCTGTTCCTTTGGCAGAGCTCTCTTGGTACAGGAGGAGAAAGAGGCTGAGGCTGAGGCTGTAATAATTGTCATAGCTGCGGATGCCTAGCGGTTTTGCCCCCTCAACATGGCCATATATTTAAGCGAATATTTTCCCTCCCTCCACCTGCGCATTGAATTTCAATTAAATGGCAGACGCGACAACCTTGCCGGTGCTGCTGCTGCTGCTGCTGCTCCAGCAACTTTATGCTGGCAAGGAGCGCGCTGGCATATTTCTGGTTTCAAATGTCAGGTCTGGAAATTACTTGCAAATATGGACAGAGTTATGTCTACGTCTTCATATCCAACTGAGAGCTCAATGCTGAAAATCACGAGCTGTGGTAAAAAGGGTAGCTAAGAGCCCCGCGGCGGCGTTCGGTCGTAATGCCTCGAATCTCTGAAATCGGGCACACCTTTCGGCCTAAAAAAAAAAAAATGCTACCAAAAATAGACAATAACAAATAACAACAACAACAAGAACCGTTCGAGTTGCTGTTTTGTTTTCTTTCAATTTCAGTTAAACTTTCTTGAGAACTTTTTTTCGGTTTACTTTTTCCTCGACGCGTCTCGCAACCCGAAAGCCTGACTTGACTTGACGGCGGGACGACGGCTTTTATTTTGTTTTATGATATGGCGATAAGATCTATGCGAACGACGGGGCTGTTAAATTAATTGAAAAGTTCAGCGGCAACAACAAAAGTCATTAGCATTTCTCCACAAAATTTGTTTTAACAGCTGACAAATGTTTTCAGCTTTTTTCCAAATGAGTTTTTCAGCATGTTTTTTTGAGTTTCAGTTCATTTTGCGTGTTATTTTTCGTTTGTTATGTTGGGTAATTTGACTTGACTTGATATGCGGGAAGGTCTTTATCGATTTGGGGTCTTACTTCTGTGGGATTTCAAAATCTTGAAATATTTTATCGCGCCTTAGACACCATAGGTTTCTTCATTCAACCGCCCGGTTAGAATTCTCGCGATCAACTGATATTTCTTACCATAAGTTTTTAGAGTTCAGTCTGATCGTAGATCGTAGCCAACCTGGTTTCAAGTTGGAGTTGCCGTTCGATGTCTCTGTTGCTGTTGCTCCAAGTTGCAGTTGATCGCGTGTCAGCTGTTTTTTTGGATGCACTTCCATCGATCGGGAATTGTAGTGTATTTGGTTTTTTTTGTTGTTTTTCCTGCATCCAGCCGCCTTGCCCCTTTTTTTGTGGGGCAATTGAAACCGGTCGGGGATTTCTTTTCCACGCAAGTGCGCAAAATTAAAACAAAACATGCGTTTTGTCTGCCGATGATGGAGAGAGATATTGGAGATTCTGTGGGAGCTCTCTGGTAGTCTCTTTCCGCATTATTTTCCTTGTCTTGGGCTGGGGATTTTATGGGTATGATGAACTTGGAAAGAAAGAAAGTTTTCTTGGAAGTGTGGGAATTTATTTAAATGAAAATGTTCAGGGTGGTAAATTTAATGAAGAGTGTGAGACTGCATAACATTTATTTTATTATATTTAATTTATACAACCTGTAGGAATAATAGGAACAACTTTAGTTCAGTTTTATGTTTTAATAACTTCTTTAAGAAATCTTTTGAATAAAATAATAATAAAACATAAGCTATAGAAACTAGCTTTAATGGTTTAGATACACGTTTTCTTAGTTTGGTTCCCTTTAAAAAATTTTTTCTTAGATTTTTTAATGTTTTCCAGGGTGTTACTTCTTCGATTTATCTATATCATCATCATTCCTTTTTTTTTTTTTATTTGTTTGTTGTTTTATTCATGTATTGGTTGACGTGGGAACTTTTAATTGTGTGTGCAGAGGGGATTTCGAACAATACCAGGAATTGCTGTCTGCTTTCTGCCGTTCCCTGTCCTCGAAAGAAAAGTACTTGGAAATGCAAAAGGATATTTAGTATGCTCCTCTGACAGCGCAAATATCAAAGATTTATATTTGTGCGGAGTGAATGTTTCCAGTAGCAGTCCAGAAACGTTTCAGGCTTCACTTGTTTATGAAATGGGGGACAAAAAACAAATATTTCTAAACGCCCCCCCTAAAAAAAAAAAATGGTCCAAGGCCCAATGAGTGGGTTGTGCTGCTCCTGCGACCCTTATAAACATGTCAATCACAAGTAAATTGTTGCAGATTTAATGGTCGCCCAAGGAATGTGGGTCGGGCAATAGGAATCCCAGCCAGGACAGCAGCTCTCGGACCCACTGAAATGCAAACGGCAATTCAGTGCTGTGTCAGCAGGGGCTTAGGGAAGTTTTAAAGGGGGTACAGTGAGTATTCGACATGGGGAACTTGGTAATTGGTAAAAAAATTGAATAAATATAAAATATTAAGAAAATCTAAGGAAACAATCTGTTTAAGGGGGTCTTCTCATTGGGCAACTTTTTTTTTTCGATTTTTTTATAGCTTGGAATGGTGTGTATATGTCCCCAAAAGGATTTTTAGAAATTCGAAATACTTTAGAAGATACAGCCTTTTTTGTGAAGCAAGTTCTTCGCAAAATGAGCTTTTTTCAAACTTCAAACGCGTTTATCTCGAAACCACGTTTTTCGAACTGGCGGCCATGATATCTCCAGTTCAACTGAACCGATTTTCATGAAACAAAGTGGAGTCGACGCAGAATTGTCACCATTCTCGGGTGACGGAACAGATTTTTTAAAAAATTGTTTTTTCTATTTTTTTTTACACTAAACTACAAAAAAAAAAGCCCGAAATCGAAATTTTTTTTGAATGGCCGCCATTTTGTTTAAAAAAATTTTTTTTTAAATCTGTTCCGTCACCCGAAAATGACATCAATTCTGATTATAACCCCGTTTTTATTTTTCATTTCGGACGCTCTGGAGACCCTGAATCGTGGCCGCCAGGACGACACCTTTTTTTTCGACCACCAAGTTTGAAGTCTCATTACTCTTTGAACAACCCTCGTATCGAGGCAAGAACAACTTTTTTAGTTACTTTGAACATTTTTGAATTCAATAAATAAAAAAGTTTTCAATTATTCTTTGCGTTTTCAAATAAGAATTTTTTTTAAAATGGGTCCAAAAAACGGCTTTTGAATGAGAAGACCCCCTTAATGATTTTAAAGCCCATAGGCTTGACACGGAACTCAGAAGATTTCTCTGCTCGGCAAAGCACAATTCCATCATGACAATATATTGCCTCTTCACCTCTGTTTTAGTCTTATCAAATTTTATAAAATTTTCAATTTACGTAGCTTTACTGTGCTGGAGATACCGACAAGCGTCCGTCATAGATTTCGCTTTCCATTTCACTGCTTACCATGAATTTATAGGCAATCTTTGGAGGCCTAGGCGTTGGCAATGGTTTTGTTTAATGAAACTTAAAATGCGTGCCAGTCCGCTCGAGCACGTATCCCGAAGGCGGGAGTTGGAGGAGCAGACTTTGGCAGGCTGAAGGACTCGTGAGCTGCACTCAGTTGCAATGGCTGACCGCAAAATGGCGGCGAAAGCACTTCCGCTTGGTGAAAAAAACACAAAAAAGTCATGGAACAGAGCATCATCGTACGTGAAATGTTGCCAGTGCTTCAGCTTGTTTTTCCCCTCCTCTTTTTTTTTTGTAAATATTACTGCGAGAAGGCAGACCCTCGGACAGCTTTAACAGCTATTAGAAAATTGCGAAAATTGCGCACACGTTTTCGCTGAGAGAGAGAAAAGCGAACGTTGCATGCGGCTGGGCAATCGAGTGCAGTTTGTGGCCTCCTCAGATTTATAGCAGTCAAGAGAGAGAGGGAGAGTAACCGGAGAACTGCCAGAGACTGCTCGCATTTTAAACAGTTTTTCGTTAAGTTTGGTTTATTAAGCCCCTTCGCCACGGCCGATGCATAATTCATTCGGTTTAAGGGTTTTCCAGCGATTCATTTCAATCATGGCCAGGAGGGAACCACACTATGCTAGGTCGTGTGGCTCGTTTTAAATCATTAAATGCGGTAGTTTTTGGCCATTTTATGGCCAAACCTAAAGGTGTGGCATCAGGTGATGTTTATTGGACGGATGCAGGCTCCACAATGGCTTTAATGTCTTTTTTTGGTTGCACAAAATTTATGGTCTTCACCTTGAATAGTTTTCTCATTTGCGAGGAAAATTTAGGGCTAGAGCAAGTTATTGAATTTGAAAGTAGTCTTAAAAAATAACTGAAAGATAAATTTGAGATATAAAGTACATTTATCTTGATATATTTTCATTAAATATACTTACTTTTCAAAGAAGCAACATTTTAAATTAATTTTAAAGTGTAAGCCTGAAGTTTTCATTATACCCGAGAGACCATATATTTTCAAATAACCTCTTGAAGTCTTGTAAATAAATTTAAAAAGTTTTTCCAATTAACCGAAAGTTGATTTAAGCTTATCCCAAGATGCTCCTTGAATTTCACATGAATCCCCTATTCCGCGGAAGCGTTCATCTAGTAAAATAATGGCCTTCATTCGCTTTCATTAAGTGCCTCAGCAAGGAAAGGTTGCCCCGAAAAATTCATCAACTTTCCTCGCTATTAGAGGACCCCGGCCTGATGTGTTCCACGAACGCTGTGCCCCGCTTAACCTCTTTAAGAAGCCTTGCTGCTTAACCCAATATCGCACCAAAGAAATTGTTGCTGAAATCGGAGGCAGCGCAATCCGTTCAAGTTTCAGCCATTCAAAAGGGGGAATTTAAGTGGCGGGGGATCGCCACCCAAAAACCACTTTAATTTGCAAATCTAGGCATATGCCGCAGAGAGAGTCAAGGCAAGGCTTTATGGTTTCACCTTCACAAAAAAAAAAAAAATAAATGGAAGGAAACTCTGCGGGTTCTCTGATTACAGTAGAAATATGCCACGTGTATATAGCCTACATATATGTGTGGGTCGTCCACCATCTCTCTAAAAATCAATAGTGACGGAGAGCGGAGCGATTTTCTTGTATTTTCTGAGCTTTTTCACTCGAACGTTAATTGATTGAATTAGCCAGCCGAGCGCAACCGAGTGAGGAGACAAAAGGAAACTCCTCCATAAATATTAATATGGCCAATCAAAATGTATGACAAGGAAATTATGCGAGGCACAGAACACACAAATGTTTAAAATTCAACAATGTCCTGGGACTGGAACTGCTGCTGCTCGGCAACAACAAACAACAACGTCAACAAAATGCTTAAATTAATAAATACCATTTCCCATTGCCACACCCAATTCTTGGGTACTTTCTTCCCCTCTTCACTTTCCTACAAGAAAACCTTAACGCTTTTCACTGGTAACTAGGCGTCGGCCTACAAGTAGGCAACGAAATTTTCAACGCCTGCTGGAAAATTAATTTTCAATGAAGCCATCAAGAGCGGTGAAAACTTTCTGACAATTGGTTTTCGGATTTAATTTGCATTTATTTTTGGTTAGCTGATTACTCTTCATAACTCATAACACACCTCCTGTCACTATTCTTGAGAAACTTGAGCTCAGTTTTCAAGGACATTTCCAATTGGCTTTCAATGCTGCTTAACTTTTTTCGCTCTGTCGGATCGAAATCTATTGCCTCCTCTGTATCGCTAATTGTTCTAATGCGCTCAAGTAGTAAGCAGCTTAAAATTGTTCAAATTGCAAGTGAACGAACGTAGAACATCAGGGGGGATCAGGAAATTCTCACACAGATGGAGGAGGAGTAAGAGAATATTCCGCAGGATACACATATCCAGGCGAGAGACTGCCTGCTGAGGCATTAACATCACCAAGGCACTGGTTCGTAATTACACATCAGATGCAGTAATTACGAGAATTAAGGAGGCGGCGCTCAATAAACACTAATCGCATCAGACGGGATTGTGGAAAATAGTGCAGATGTAGGGGGAAAAATGTATGCTATGTAATTAAAAAATATTTTAAATTAAGGAATTCTAAAAGAATATTTAAATTTAAATTTATTATAATAACAAAAACATAAGATAATAACAATTGGTTTTTTTTTCAAACATCAGTTCAAAGTTTGCTGGAAAGGCTTCTATTTCTTGCCAAATATCTCTCCTGCTCCTTAGAGCTCAGTTCCAAGTCCTTACCCCTCAAGGACCATGAAGTAAGAACCGGTGGTCGATGATGCTGTATAAAGGGCACTATATACCGGGCACATTCCTCGGCTGCATGAAGATGAACATGATGAGTGCCACCCGCCACCTCGTAGAACTCAAAGTGGGGATTATTGTGGGCCAGAATAGACATTGGCTCCTCACACTCTACTCCCAAATACGGCGACATCGATCCCTTGATGATCAGGTACGGTTTTCTTCCTATACGTCCTGCCAGTTCAGCGGCTAGGCCACGTTCTGTATGAATGCTGTGATAGAACTTTATCCGTCCGTCTCGGGAAAAGAAGAATCGGTCCGGATAGAGCTCTGACTTGGTAACCTGGCGATAAAGCAAATGCTTGGCCAACTCAGGGGTCACAGAGTTATTGCTTCCTTTTGCTAGGGCTTTGCACAGCTGCGGGAGTGTGTAGGAGGGTGGCTCGTGAAGATTACCGTCCTCCCGTCGATCTTCCTCCACCAGATGCTTTTCCATATCCTGGGCCGCCTTTTTAATGCTTAGCTCGCAATCCCGAAGCGGAGTGGTCAGCAGAATATCCAGAGAGATAACCATGTCCACCGTATGTGGAGCCAGACCTGCGTAAAAGAAGCTAATGATGCCGCCCAGGGAATGACCCAGCAGGGAGACCTTCTTCCAGCCATACTCGTGCATAACCCGTGGAATGATGTAGACAAACTCGTAGATGCTGTAATGCATCCCTGGTGGGAGATGAGAGGACCTTCCATGACCCGGAAGATCGATGCAAAGCACGCCTATATAATCTGGGAGAAGGGGAATCAGTCGATCGAAGGTTCCTAAGTTATCTAACCAGCCATGAATTGCTAGGATGGGTCTCTCCCTTCGATTGCCATACCAGCGACCGGAGATGTGACCCCAAGGAGCGGGGATCCTCACCTCCACGCACTGCAAATGAAATATGAAAAGTAAGGCTTGGAAGCTTAAATTATATAATTATAACACATTATTATATATTATATTATTAATTAATATATAATAATCACAATTGTATTAGGATTATTTGAAATTTATTTAATATATTTAGAATGAACCCTTTCGTATTTGAGTTTACTTGTTATCGACAAAAATAAACTCGATTAATAAAGTTAAAAATGTGCTTATCAACTTTTGTAGATACATTTGTACTATTTCAAGACAAATGCACATTTACCAAAGCTTTTACTAAGACGTTTTCTTTTGTATTTTCCAGAGAGCAAAAACTAGTATCTCTACTGATCTGATCTCTTTAGTTTATTCTGTATACTCACATCGCTCAATGACAACATTCCCATCGCAACAAACAGCGCACTGAACTTTGCCCTTCGCTAGTTTATAGGCTTGAATTAGTAATTATTTTGCGACCTTCTATTATCTTGCCAATATATTGCCAAACAAAAAAAAAAAAAAAACCGATCCCACGTTGATAAAAAAATTGGGAATTTAGAACATTCCCTTTGCCTGCTGTGCAGCGACTAATTCCTGTTTTTCGCTTTCTCAATAATCTCTGGTTTGCTTGTTTTATAAAGAGAGATGATAACAAAACTAAAAGCTTAAGAGAATCGTAAATAAAACTTAAGAACAAGTAGCCAGAAATAAGAGAAACATTGTAAAGAGATACCATATAATATTTAGTTTCTCTTAAAACGTGAATCTAAGGAAGAGTACTTCAAGTGGGAATATGTAGTACCTTTTTCTGTTTGAATCATTAATGCAAGAAAATGTATAAATATTCTATGTTATTTTTAAAGGTCTTCTCGTATCTTCCTAACAAAACTTTGAGGGTTTTTTCATTCTCTCAATTTTTGAATATTTATTATTCATACAATTCATTTGTTGACTATTTATAATTCATAAAATTAATTGTTTTAATTGTTTGTTTTTCCCAATGTAAGCATCTTTACAGCTTACTGCGATTATTCCTGCTCCTCTCTAAATATTTCTCCTGTTCCCGGCGTCTCTCTGTTAGGCTTAGTTTCGCTTCTTTTCCAGCCAAAGACCAAGATGTAAGGATAGGGGGCCGGTGATGTCGAATAAAGGGCACTATGAACCGAGCACACTCCTCGGCTGCATGAAGATGAACATGGTGGGTGCCTTCCACCTCGTAGAACTCATAGTGCGGATTGTTGTGACTCAGGATGGACATGGTCCCCTTGCATTGGTCTAGCGGCAAGTGAATTGACTTGGAACCCTTTATGATCAAGTATGGCTTTCTCTGAATACGCCGCGCCATTTCTTCAGCTAATCCCAGTTCTATGTGAGGTACATTGTAAAACTTGACTCGTCCATCCCTGGAGAAGAAGAATCTATCCGGATAGAGTTGCGACTTGGTGACCTGGCGGTAAAGCAGGTGTTTGGCCAGCTCGGGGGTCACCGAGTCGGAGCTTCCTTTGGCCAAGAGCTTACACAGCTGGGCGTAGGAATAGGAAGGTGGCTCGTGCAGATTTACCTTCTCCTGCCGATCCTCTTCGATCAAGTGCCTCTCCATTTTCTGAGCTCTATGCTCCAACTGATTTGAGCGTGGTGAAGATGTGGGCAGCAATTTGTCCAACGAAATGACCATATCCACTGTATGAGGAGCCAGGGAAGTGTAAATGAAACACATCATGGCACCCAGCGAGTGTCCCATCAGGGATACCTTCCGCCAGCCGTACTCCTTCATGACTCGGGGAATGATAAAAACGTAGTCGAAGGCATTGTAGCACATTCCCGGTTGTATGTGCGAGGACCTTCCATGTCCTGGCAGATCGATGCACAGCACGCCTAAATAATCAGGGAGCAAGGGAATCAGTCGATCGAAGGTTCCCAGGTTATCTAACCAGCCATGAATGGCTAGAATAGGTCGTTCTGTTCGATTACCGTACCAGCGACCGGAGATGTGACCCCAAGGTGCCGGGATTTTTACATCCTGAAACTAAAGAAATACATTTATATATATGAAATGGGTAAATAGTATAGTTTTAAATGTTTATTCATTTTATTACACCAGTAACTAATGAGGAAAAGGTAAGAATTTGTCTGATATGCAAATTATGTTTGCACAAAACTTCCATAACTTGCTCTCTTTACTCCGAATTTACTGTACATTATCAGTTATTTTCCACTATTATTATTCCACTTGCGATTGAAAGAATATACACACACGTGAAAATACCGGCTGGTGTTATCTTTTTCTAATTCTCTCCTCACATTTCTGCTTACTCACATCGTTTAATGACAAAGTTCCCATCCCGACGGCCTTCTGAACTTTGCTCGTCGGCAACTTTTAGACTCGATCCAATAATTGTGGTACCACCGTCCAGTATTATCTTCAAGATTGTACGTTTTAGCACTTTTTAAGTATCACTTCTTACGCCCGCAACAGCTGTTCTTTGACTGAACTGATTATACAAATTTGTTTACCTTTTATGTCAGCCCAAAAAGAGAGAGTTTTTGTGGAAAGAGCGTTGAGATGGAAGGAATAGATAAGAGAACTTTTAGAACTTATGTGAAATACACTAAAAAACATATTGTATTAACTTGAAGGGTTATAAATTATTTATAAAATTTGTATTTATTTACAATTTGTATTTCTAAATATTTATAACATTATACGAGTTTAGTTTTTGGTAAAAACAAAAAATTGTTATATCGGAGTGATCAAGTGTTTGCTTATGTTCACTTAATTGATATTTTTAAATACTTTTCACACTTGAATCATTTATCAATGATGAATAAAAATCCTTTAACAATTGTTCTAAATCACTTGAACTTTGTACTTTTGGTATTTCACAATTTGCTGCGCTTTTTCTTGCCCCAACTAAAGAGCCGCCTTTGTTGACTTTTGTATTCCTTGGCGGCAAGTTGATCTTCCTTTCCAGTAAGTCCCCAGGAAGTGAGGGCTGGAGGTCGATGATGCTGGATGAAAGGCACTATATACCGGGCGCACTCCTCGGCTGCATGAAGATGCAAATGATGGGTGCCGCCTTCCACCTCGTGGAGCTCGAAATGCGGATTGTCCTTGGCCATAATACAGATTGCCTCGTTACTCCTGAGCGTCAAAAATGGTGACCGTGAACCCTTGATAATGAGAAAGGGTTTTTTTTTCAGTTGCCTCGCCATCTCCCTTCCTAGACCTTGATCAATGTCCATGTAGTGATAGTTTTTCACGCGAGCGTCCCTGGAAAAGTAGAATCTCTCAGGATACTGTTTCGACTTGGTCAGCTGGCGGTGGAGCAAGTGCTTGGCCAGCTCAGGGAACACAGAGTTATAGCTTCCCTTGGCCAGGACTTTTTCCAGCTCCGCGGTGGTGTATGAAGGCGGTTCACTATAATTTCCCTCCTTCTGACGTTCGACTTCCACCAGCTGCTTCTCAATACTCAGTGCCATGTATTCGATATTATTCCTCAAAGGCAGCAAAATATCCAGGGAAATTATCATGTCCACGGTATGAGGGGCAAGGGATGCATAGAGGAAGCATAGAAAGCCACCCAAGGAGTGACCGATCAGGGAGACCTTCGTCCATCCGTACTCTTTCATCACAGTTGGAACGGCCCAACGGCCCGAGATGTGACCCCAGGGTACAGGAATCTTGACTTGCTCAAACTAAAAATGTTGGAAAATGACAGAGGGTTTAGTTCTTAGTTCTTATCTCATAAATATTATTAATTGTTGTTCAAAGGTTATGCATGACAAGGCTAATCTTTTTTGGGGCGATTTTTGGCACACTTACATCGCTCAGTGATAAAGTTCCCATTCCTTCTAGATTGTGACAGATATTTACTTATTTTGGGAACAACAAATTCCAGTCTCCAGGAACTTTAGTGGGTTCCTTCCTTCTCAAGAGTTATTCTTTCACTAATTCATGCTCTTGGCTTTCTTTGCTTTATTGATAAATGCAAACATAAGGAGATCTGAAGAGATCAACCAAAGAGAGTCCCGCTCTCTTAATTAAAAAGCTTTCAACGATAACAAACAAATATGAGAGCGAGATAATATAGAAGCCACATGTGTTATTCAGTTTTTATAATTGTTTTGAGTACTCCTTGGACTTGATCTTTATTTCTAAGCCTTCGATGTTCTTAGTAGTATTTAAATTACAAAGTTTTTTATTTATTTTCACATAAAACTCAAATTAATAACTAAATACATTGATTTCACTTCCATTCAGCGCAGGCAGCTAACAACAACTAAACAAAATATTAATGAAGCTTTTGAGGGCAACAAGTTTTTGGCTCTCTCGGGGCGAATGGCTTTATTAGTTTTGTTATTTTTTTTTTAAATATTATTTTAGCTCTCTTAACGATGCTTACTCTTTCACAACTTGCTACCTTTTTCTTGATAAGATTGATTTTTCTGAGGACGATGGCGCTGGATGAAGGGAACGATGTACCGGGCACACTCCTCCGCAGACTGCAAGTGTAGGTGATGAGTGCCGCCCTCCACTTGGTAAAACTCAAAGTGAGGGTTGCCCTTGGCCAGAATGGAAAAAATCTCGTCACAGCGAGGTTGCAAGTGCAGCGATAGAGATCCCTTTAGAACGAGATAGGGCTTATTTCCAATACGCCTCGCCATCTCGCCGCCAAGTCCCGTATCGATGTCCCAATAATTAAAATACTTGACCCTTCCATCCCGAGAGTAATAGAATTTATTCTGATCGGGATGGTTATGTGCCTTCTTTACCTGACGGTGGAGCAGATGGTGGGCCAAATCTTCAGTTACAGCGTCCAAGCTTGCTTCGGCAACATTTTTACTCATCTGGGCGAGAGTGTAGCTTGGCGGTTTCCTATCTTTCTCCGCCACTTTCCTACGGTCGTCCTCAACCAGTAGCCTCTCCTGATAGTTACTAAACATTTCAATTGCCAAACCATTCTCCACTCTCATGGGCAGCAGAATGTCCAGGGAAATCACCATGTCCACTGTGTCAGGGGCCATTGCCGTGTAGGCGAAGCTCATAATGCCACCCAGAGAGTGACCCATCAAGGACACCTTGTTCCAGCCGAAATGCTTAACCACGGTGGGAATGATGTAAACCAAGTCATAGACGCCATAGTTGATTCCTGGCGGCAAGTGCGAGGAGCGTCCGTGTCCTGGAAGATCGATGCATAGCATTCCTATATAATCTGGGAGCAGGGGAATCAAGCGATCGAAAGTTCCCAGGTTGTCCAGCCAGCCGTGGATCGCCAGGATAGGACGAACCTCTTGGTTACCATACCATCGACCCGAAATGAAACCCCAAGGCACGGGAATCTCCACTTCACGGAACTTTAAGGGAGGTTATTATATTTTTAATTACTGCCTTAATAGGTTATACGTTTTTTGGCTTACTTACATCTTCAATTAAAATTCGTTTCATTGTTAATAAAATAAGTTATTGTTTCTCAACTGGATTAATTTTGGCAAAAAGCATGCAGTGAGCATACACCTTTCAGATTAAAGAACAATGTTCCGACTGATTTGGAGTAATGATTTTTTAATAGCTTGAAAAGATAAGCAATAGAAAGCTTTTTTAACAGTCTCATTTGAGCTTTTTGTTAAATTTAGAGTATATTAATAAAAGCCAGCCGAAGAGAGCATAGTAACCAAAAGCAAAATTAAAGGTTTATAAGTTTTTATTATTAAAAAAATCGTTGGGGCTTGTCTGGCTAAGATAAAGAAAATTTTTTATTTTTTGCTCATTTTTTTGTTTTTATTTCATGGAACTATACTCTTGGAAATATCTTCTAAAACAATCTAAATTCCTTTTGTGATATGGAATGATCACTTTGTCAAGATGCTGGATTTCATATCTCTTCACTGGTGTGAATTCCAGTCATGGTTTAAATCGAATCTTGCCAGACCCATCGACGACCAGAGTCAATAAGCGGCAGTGGGATTTAGGGAATGTGTCGATTACTACGTGACGCTGGAATCAAATCGAGTTTTACGTTTCTCCGCAAGGAGAACCCAGCGATGCAAGCGGTTACGCTGGGCTGACCTGGCAGTGGTCATGTCCTGGCGAAAGTCCTAGACTGACTTGGTTCGGATGTCCCAGCACGTTCTGGTTATTTTTAAATTTGTACGGTTGGATGCTCCAGATGCAGAAATAAAAATTTAAGCATTTTCTTGTGCAACATACTTGTTACGACTTTAAGCTTAAATTAAGCTATGATTACCCGAAATCCTGTTCCTGGACTTTCCATTTCTGGCTGCCATTTGGGGGCTTCTTCCTGCTCAACTGTCTCCCCAAGTGTGATTACCTTCCGCTGTCTTTCCCCTCGACTGCATGTGACTGCCATCAAGCCATATCCTGGCTGCCTTCACACTCCTTGGCCACAGCATGACCCTTAATTTGCATTTGGCCAAGTTTCCTTGTGCATTTCAATCGTGTATGCGTGTATGGGTGGGTGTGTGTGAGGAACTGCAGCCATGATTTATCTTTAATTTATGTTTGAGTAATTTATCATGTCTACTGGGGCCCCACCCCTTGTTGTGCCATTTTCCCTTTGGGGGCCGGGCAGGAGGCGATCCTTGCCAGCCCCTTGTTCTCGCCATGCAAATTGTCTTGAGCTTTCCCCAAAGTGAAAGTGCCATTTCGCTGGCGCTGGCGAAGGGGAAATGTGTGCGTGTATTGGCCTTGAATCCATAATTTGCCTGTCAACGGCAGCGACATCGTTGTCGGCGCCGTCTTCGTTGTCGTGGCCCAAAAATTGTGCGCACATAATTGAGTTCAAGCATTTGGAAGCCAATTATGATTTCCCACTTCTACCGCCAGCCTCCGCTTTTTCTGCGGCTCCCTTTTGTGTCCCTTTTCACATCTCAATCAAAAGGGCGGGCGTGTCCTTTGTCCTTTCACCTCCTTTTCCTTGCTGTTCACCTCCTTTCAGCCTTTTCCTTCGACGTGGCTTTAATTGCCTCTGCCACTTAACATATGCAAATTAAATTTAATTCTTTTTCTCGCAACCGGATCTTGCTTCCTTTCTTTTTTTTTTGGGTCACATTTTCCGGAGAGGACACCTTAAGTGGAAAAGCAGCTCACCTTCAGTTTGATAAATATTTATGACGGCCAATGATAGTTGCTCTTGCGGAACGGCAGCTGAACAAAGAACCAAAGGGTTGCCCATTTCCTAGAAGCCTTTATTTCTTGTCGTTCCCCCTAAAAAAATAAAATAAAAAAGGAAGAGACTGGGAAAAAGTAAAGCAAATAAATAAACAATATGGTAAAGCACTATATATGATGCTTTCAACCTGTCAGCCGAGTCCTTGAGCCGGGGATCAGCTTCACAAAGACACCGCCGGAAGTCTCGACCTGATACGCATGCAACTCCGCAAAAAAGCAAAAAAAAAAAAAAAATCTGAGGAAATGGCAGGAAAAGCGGTGGGGGAAAGTTGGCCGCCGCTATTATGCTTTATGTGCTGCTATTTTTTCGGCAGGAATTTCTCCTCTTTGGAGCCAAAGTGCGAGTGAGATTTAAGCCCGAACAATGGCTCCGGGGTTTGGTAGAAGAAAAAAAATATATATAGAAGAGTGTGTAAGAAATTGCATTAAGAAATCATTTTCGTTTTGCGGCGGTTTCCATGGAGCTCTTTTTCCCGAATGGGGCTTTCCCTGGGTTTTTCCAGCTCTCTGCTGCAAATCTAATTCAAATGAATTATTCGTGCCAGAAAGTTTCACATTCGTTGCATTTTTCTGGGCTTGCGGTTTTAACAACACATTTCTTTGGCTAATGAATTTGACTATTATATAAGCGGGTGGTCTGCGAGTGTGCCTTGCCTTCGCATGTGTGTGTTATATGTATTTCCTCTAATTATACAGCAGTGCTGAAAATTTGCATTTGAATATATGTACATATATATACATTTACATTCAGGTTTCCAAGGGGGGGCTAAACCTGCAGAAAGCCTAAAAACCTACATCTCTCTACACACTGCATATAACAATTAAAAATTCCAGAAAATTACGAATGTAAACCAGAGCTTTGTGCCGCAAAAGGCCGCACTTTATTGAAAGGTAAAGCATTTCCCCCACGTTTGGTAAGTTGTGCAAATTTGATTATGGTTATGAGCAGAAATTCTACAATAAATAGACAATAATTGGTTTCTGTGCTAGGATCAATTAAACACGAGCATCGAACAATGAATTTGTAATTGCTTATTGGCAGTAAATAAAGGGTTAAGGTTAATTACATATTTAGTTCAAATTGAATTTTGATTGGGTCAATAAATGTGAATAAAACGTCGGTGATTTTATATCAGAAATTAATTGTATAACTTACAAAAGGTCCTTTCTTTGATCCCCTATGATTTATTGCTCACAGTTCATTAAGCTCATAATATATATTTAACTTAATCAACTCGGTATATTAATAGTCATAAAACTAAGATATTGAACCCCATTCTGAACCCCCTTTTGATTTAGTTGAAGAGTTCATCGTTAATCCACTTGATTTCGTAGGTCACGCCTCAAAGCCTGCCATGATTTATGGCTTTATCCCATATTTTCCCTGCTGTGTTCACCTAAGTATGCAATTGTTTAGGTTGATATTTAGTTAATTTACTTAATCAAGTGTTTGCCAGGGTCACAATCAAGGGCCAAGAGGCCACCGTGGCTAACGCACTCAATCCCAATAAATTAATTAACCAAGAAATTTATGATTATTGCCACAATGAGTTTGCTCTTTTCTGGCGCCCTTTTTCTTTTATTTTTCTTTGGCTTTGGCTTTGACTTTCACTTTGGTTTATTCATTTATTTGTGGCCAAAATGTTTCCACTGCCAGTTCATAAATAATTCGTATAATTTATGCATTGTCATATACTGACTAATGGCGGGGGTGCCTCGCTCTTGACAGACGGGATAAACCGATTGTATATGCGCCGGTGCCGTTGCCGGCGCTCGACAGCTCAATTGCCCGGCTGGCACTCAATTTGCAGCAGCCAGGAGCAGCAGGTTGAGGAGGCGAAAAGGAAACGAAGATTTCATAATTCAAATTCTTCGATTTATGGGGCAGTACAGCATACTCTCCTACGGGGTTGGAGGCTTATCGAAGCCACCGGAAGCCGGCGGGCATTTCGCACTTGAGCCGCCCCCAAACAATCGTAATTTACGATTGGACAACCCAAAAACGCACTTTACTTGTGCGTAATGCCAAGACAATTGTGTGTGCACCAACTGCAGAAATGCCCCAGCATTCCTACACTGCGAAAAAATAAAGGGGATACAAAAATGAAGCTTAATTGCTTTTGCTGAAAAGAGTTTATAAACGAACGAATGATTCCACATTGAATCTCGTTCCTGGAAATAACTCCTTTATTACCTTTCTAACCAAAATTATGCCCAACAAAGGCATTATTATTTTAAAAATATATTTTTTTACAGTGCAGTCGCTCACTATTCCCCCGTAGCAGTGTTGTTACCGTATATCGGATCTTGTCTGGTCATAAATTTCCGTTTTTGGTTAACTCGTGCAACTGCAACTGCTGAACTGCTGAACTGCTGCTGCTGCCTCTGATGCTACCCACTTCCGTAGGTGGAATTGAGACCCCTGGAGAAATGTGTGGAAAATTTGGGGAGGGGTGGCCGGAGAATTCGAACTCGATTCCCTTGTGGGCCTTTTAAAGGAGGCACTTCCCTGAATTATACGAGTACTACTGGCCTGTGCATTTCGTTGATCCCCCGTTTGTAATTGGAGATTGTAGTTGGGGCTAAAAGTTTGCCATATAAAAGTTTACTTTTTGATTCAGTTTTTAGAGCTGTGCTGGCATTTGCCAATTTATCTGCCTGCAGATATATACACAAGTGTTTGCGGGCTATGTCCTGTCTGCAATAAACTTTTAACATTTTGACCAGTAATTGAACCAGACAAAATGTCCCAAGCACACACACAACGAGTATAACTTCCTTGTAATTACTATCTATCATTGGTGGTACATTGCCTTTGCCGAATGCTAGATGCAATTTAGGGGGCTATTTTGGTTTTTAATTGGGGTCAAACTGATATACCCGTTGAGAAGCCATAAATCTCTCCAAGAGAAAAAGGATTTCATTTGAAAAATGTAAAAATGTAAAGCATGACAGTCACTTGGATATACAAATATTTTCATTCCCTGCAAGCTTTGCTCTTCATATTCATAGTTTTTCTCAGAAAGCTCTGAGATCTGGGCAAGTTTTCTAATTAAAAACAAATTCATGAATGCAATTTGCATGAAATTCAATTAAACTTTTTATCAACAGTCCATCTTGCTGACGAAGCGACTCTTCTCTGGAATTAATCATACGCACTGTTGTCCCAACGTGAGCGATTGCAATCAAGAGATGATATCTGAGCTTAGTAGCGAGCGTCACCTTCCCACACACTCCCCATCCAGCAAATTTGATTGGGGCAAAGAACAAAAACAAAAAAAAAAAAGGAAAAATAAAATTACCGAATGGAATAAATGAGCGACTGAACGATGCCGCAAGT